CTGGCGAGGTTGTGGGGAAAAGAAAACCCTGGTGCACTGTTGGTGGGACTGCAGACTGGTGCAGCCACTATGGAAATCAGTATGGCGGTATCTCAAAAAACTGGAAATGGACCTTATGGCCCAGCAATTCCACTCTTAGGTATTTATCCAGAAAAACCCAAGACACTAATTTGAAAAAATATATGTACCCTTATGTTCACTGCAGCGCTATTTACAATAGTCAAGACTTGGAAACAATCGAAATGCCCATTGGTAGAAAGTGTGGTACATTTAGGCCTGGCCGAGTGGCTCAGTTGGTTAAGAGCTCGCTCAAGAGTGCAAGCTCTGAGCAACAGCATTGCCAGTTCGATTCCCAGCCCGAGCTGAGCTGCCAACAGGTGGCAGGATGGCTCAGCTAAACCAAACAAACAAACAAAAAAACCACAAGAAACTGTGGTACATTTACACAATGGAGTATCACTCAGCTATAAAGAAGGAAATCGTACAATTTGCAACGATATGGATGGACCTAGAGAACATTATGCTAAGTGAAATAAGTCAGTCAGAGAAAGATAAATACCATATGATCTCACTTATATGTGGAATCTGAAGAACTGAATAAATGAGAAATGTAAACAGAAATAGTCTCAGAGACACAGAGGAAAAACTGATGGTTGCTAGATGTGAAGGGGTGGGGATGAGGGAGAAGGGGAAAGGACGAGACAGTATAAATTGGTAACTACCATATGGCCTCAGGGATAGAAAAGACAGTTTCGGGAATATAATCAATAATGTTGTAAATATTGTTTAGGGGGCCAGATGGTCTCATGTCTTGTTAGGGAGACCACTTCATGGATGGTGTAGAGACCTAACCACTGCACTATACATCTGAAGCTGCCGTTGAATAATATTATATGTCAACTATAATTTAATACATATATACTCATGGGATGTGGAGTATAGTGTGGGAATGGAGTCAATGGAATTGTAATAGATAAGTATGATATCGGGGGTGGGAGTGCAGTGGATGGGGGGAGGGAAGTTGTCACTTTGTGAGGGGTGAAAAGGATAACTATTGCATTGTTCTGTACACCTGAAACTAGTAACAACAACAATAATAATAAAAGAATGTGTTTTTCTGTGGTCTGTAAGGGCTTAAAGAACACTTTGGTTCCAGCACTTTTCAATTAGAGGTTTAATAATCAGGAAAGTTTCTTTAGGTTATGGGGGTGGGGTGGTTAACTACTCAAGCTATTTACCTCTCCTTCTACCTTAAACTCACTACAACAAACAGTCCTGAAGAAAGCCACCTCGACAGGCTCTAAAACTGTTGGCTGAGTAAAGCATCCCTGTCAAACCCACAGAACCATTGCTATCAGGCCTGGACTCACACCAGCCTTGCATTCCACAGCCTCTGGAGAGGCAGGCACCTGGCTGCCCCCACCACTGACTGCCCTGGCCCCACCCAGGCTGGCCTCTGGCTCCAAGGCTGTGCCATCTACTCAGAGGGCAGCGGCTTTCCCAGGGTCAGGCTATGCTTGGCTTTGGATACCAGACATCGTGGTTTATAGACATTAATAAATGCATAAAATATAATTTCACTTAATATAATAACTGAATACAAAAGTCACCAAAAACAAACAATCCACTGAGAATAACGCTTCAATCTTCAAAATTTGCTCTGGGCGCAACCCAAGCAGTGGTATAGTAACGTCCCAATGCACCTTGTGTGTCTCCTGTCTCGGTCTTCTCTACATGGCTAAATAATTGAGAGAATGATCATGAGTATGGATTCGTAGGAACCTAGCACGAGAAGAGAAATGGTAGCACCTCCATACCATTCACCGTGAGCCTGGCCTTGTGCGAGTAGGTGGAGCCGAAGTGGTTGGTGATGACACACTGGTAGCGACCCTCATGCCCGAAAGTGACGCGGCGGAGGTGCAGGATGGTGGTGTACTCCATCACCTCCCCATCCTGCGCACGGACGTGGGCAAAGTTCTCCATGTCGGCATTGGCTAGCACCTCATTGTCCTTCTTCCAGGCGAAGGTCATAGGGGAGCTGCTGCTGCTGGCTGCCGAGCACGTGAACCGGATGTCCTTGCCCACCACGGCCATGGTCGTCTCTGGCTGGGTGATAATCTGTGGCTTTGGTAAGTCATCTGAGGAGAGAAGAGCCAATTCTAAGTTACCCAGGCTCTTAGGACACATAGGGACCAGCTGTTCAAGCGAATGGAAAATGGAGTCAGACACTGAGCAGGGACCGGCTCTTTCAGGAAACCTGCACATCCGCAGCCCCACAAAATACTCTAATACTCACACCGTGGATATCTGGCCTTATCCAATTGTAAATCCATGAGCACTGGTCCCCTCTAAGATCACACACACCCTGATTACAAATAAATGTATTAGTACTCAATTATCAAAGAAATCAGCAGTTTCCATGATAAGACTACAATCACCTTCACTTGTTCATTTTAACACAAAACATACTTAACACAGAGTCGGGAACTAGCAGTCATGACTGCACAGACCTGACCCGTAAACTTTACTCCAAAAGAAGTGGGGTATGAAGCACTTCAGGAATGTCAGAATAAGGACTTCTGAAAATCCGCACCTCCAATAAAGCAATGAAAACACTAGCAAAAATGGTCATAATCAGCTTTTGCAGAATCCTGGAAAATAACTGAAAACTACAACAATCCATGGAATGTTGGTCAAGAAAATGTCTGAATCTCAGGAAGAAAAGTGAGCTCTGTGATACTTTAAATTCCCCTAAGTCCCTCCCCTCTCTTCCCAACTCCATGGTATCCTTGAAACCCAGCAGTCTAGCAATTCCTGAGGCGGGAAGAATGGTTTGAGAGCTTCCCCCAAAACCCCATCCTCAGGGATTATATTTACTTGACCTGATGCAGTTTGCTCAGCAAGAAAGCCCTACCCCCAGGGCGTTTAATGAAAACAATCAGCAGCCATGGCTGAAGCAGTAGTATCACTTGGGGCCAACAAGAGATTGGCCAAAAAGTGAAAATGGAATATCAGGTCATTAGGATGTTAAAAGTGGGCTTTGAGAAGGTCCAACATATTCCTGAGGGTCTAGAAGGCCACATGCATGTAAAGGGCTGTGTGCACACTCAGAGGGTCCTAATCTGTTCCCTGTAACTGACCCCAATGGACGATCAGTGCCAACAGGAAGTGATGGCACACCCCTAACACACAACAGAGATGCTGGGCAAAGGATGGCAGACTTCTTAGTTGAAGTGATTTAAAGACTTACTACCCAGGGACAGACTTCATGGCTACCCAGTACAGACTCGACATTTGTCCAGGAAAGTCACTAAAAAAAACAAATTGTAATAAACAAATCCTCTGGGAAGACAGAGGGAGAATCTGATTTCCAGAGTGATCACATTATTTTATTTTAAATGCCCAAACACTACAAAACATGCAAAGAAATGGGAAAAAAAACAGTCAATAGAAAACTGTCCTTGAGAAAGCCCAGGTCTTGGACTTACTAAAGAAAGACTTTAAATTGGCTTTATAAATATGTTCAAAGAACTAAAGGAAACCATGTCTAAGAAAATTAAAGTGTGTGAATAGTTTCCCATCAAATAATACCAATAAAGAGATACAGTTGTAAAAATGAACCAAATATAAGTTTGGAGTTCAAAAGTATAACTGAAATGAAAAATTCACTAGAAGAGCTCAACAGATGAACTAAGCTGGCAGAAGAAAGAGTCCATAAACTTGAGATAGGTCGATTGAGATTATCATGCCTGAGAAACATAAATACAAAACAATGAAGACAGCTACAGAGACTTGTGGGATAGCATTGAGCATAGTAACATACAAATAATGGGAGTCCATGAAGAAGAAAGAAAAAGGAGCAGAAAAAGCATGTGAAGAAATAATGGCACCAAACTACCCAAATTTGGTGAAAACCATGCATTTACACATCCAAGAAACTCAAACTCCAAATAGAATAAACTCAAAGATCTGCACCTAGGTACATCATAATCAAGCTGTCAAAAGACAAAGACAAAGAATCTTGAAAGCAGCAAGAAAACAAGAACTCATGACATACAAGAGATTCTCAATAACAGTAACAGCTAATCTCTCATCAGAAACCATGGAGGGCAGAGGCAGTAGGAAGACATATTCAAAGTACTGAAAGAAAAACTCACTAGCCTGTCAACTAAGAATCCTACATCTGGCACAATTACCCTTTCAAAAATGAAGGAGAAATTAAAACATTCTCAGATTTAAAAACAAAAAAAGTTGAGATAATGCATTGCTACCAGATCTGCTTTACAAGAAACACTAAAGGGATAAGTGTCTGTTCAGGTCCTCTGCCCATTGTTTAATTGGATTGCTTTTTGTTGTTGAGCTGTATGAGTTCTTTATGTATTTTGGATATTAGCCCCTTTTCGGAGGCACTGTTTGCAAAGATCTTCTCCCATTCGGTTGGATGCCTCTTTGTTGACTTGACGGTTTCTTTTGCTGTGCAGAAACTTTTTGGTGTGATATAAAAAAAAGTTCCATCCATTTATTTTTGCTTTTATTTCCCTTGCCTTTGAGGTCAGATTCATAAAATCCTAAGACCAAGGTCCATAAGTTTAGTACCTATGCTTTCTTTTATGTATTTTATTTTTTCAGATCTTATATTTAGGTGACATAAAAATGGCCAACAGATATATGAAAAGATGCTCAACTTCACTAGCTATTAAGGAAAAGCAAATCAAAACCACAATGAGATACCCCCTCACACCTGTTAGATGGTTATTATCAACAAGTCAAGTACTAACAAGTGTTGGAGAGGCTGTGGAGAAAAAGGAACCCTTATACACTGTTGGTGGGAATGCAGGTTGGTGCAGCCACTATGGAAAACATTATGGAGTTTCCTCAAAAAATTAAGACTAGAGGGAGCATTTGAGATCTTGCTCCCCAGCATATGTTGTCAATTTGGCTCAAATAAACTCTTACAAAAATTCTCAAAAAAAAAAAAAATTAAAATTAGAATCACCATATGACCCATTACTCCCTCTTCTATCTACCTGAAAAATTTGAAAACATTTATCCCCAAAGATATATGTATCCGTGTTCATTGCAGCATTATTTACAGTGGCCAATATACATGGAAATAACCAAAGTGTCCTTCAACAGATGACTGGATAAAGAAGATGTGGCATATATATACACATACACACACACACACACACACACACACACACACACACTCACACAATGGAATATTCCTTGGTCATAAAAAAAGATGAAATACTGCCATTTGTGACGACATGGGTGGATCTTAAGATTATCATGCTAAGTGAAATAAGTCAGACAGAAAAAGTTGAGAACCATATGACTTCACTGGTATGTGGGATATAAAAACTGAAAGCAACAAATGAACAAGACAAACAAGAAACAAAAAACAAGATAAACGAGAAACAAAAACTCATAGACACAGACAACAGTTTAGTGGTTACCAGATTGTAATGGGGGAGGGGAGCGGTAGATGAGGGTAAATGGGGTCAAATATATGGTGATGGAAAGAGAACTGACTCTGGGTAGTGAGCACACAATGTGATATATAGATGATGTATTATAGAATTGTACAACTGAAACCTATAAAATTTTATTAACCGATGTCACCCCAATATATTTAATAAAGTTTTTAAAAAGGAAATACTAAAAGGAATCATTCAGACTGAAATGAAAGGGTAGAAGCGGAGAAGACTCAAAATATTAAAATTTGGAATGAAAGAAGGGACATAACACCTTTACAGCAATAAACAAGAATATAGGGAAATACTATGAATAACTGTATGCCCACAAATTAGTCTGAAATGCACAAATTCTGAGAAAGACACAAACTACCAAAACTGACTCAAAAAGAAATGGAAAATTTGAATAGATGTAAAAAGAGACTGAATTAATAATTTTTAAACTTCCCACAAAGAGGGGCTGGCCGGGTGGTTCAGTTGATTAGAGTGCAAGCTCTGAGCAACGGGGTTACCAGTTCGATTCCCACATGGGCCAGTGAGCTGAGCCCAAGCTGAACTGCCAACAGGCGGCTGGATGGCTCAGCTGGTGAGAACGCGTGCTCCTAACAGGGTTGCTGGTTCAACTCCCACATGGGATGGTGGGCTGCGTCGCTGTGCCCCCCACCCCTCGCCCCTTAGTTCAATCAACTAAGATTGAACACGGCACCTTGAGCTTGGCAGCCGAGAGCTGCTGATGGGTGCGTGCTCTTAACAACAAGGTTGCTGGTTCAACTTCCCCATGGGATAGTGGGCTGTGTCCCCCCGCAACTAGATTGAAAGTGCGACTGGATTTGGAGCTGAGCTTGTGCCCTCCACAACTAAGACTGAAGGACAACAACTTGACTTAGAGCTGATGGGTCCTAGAAACACACAGTATTCCCCTTCCCCAATTCCTCAACACTGTTCCCTTCCCCAATTCCACAATAAAATCTTAAAAAAAACAACTTCCCACAAAGAAAAGCCCAGACCCAAATGGCTACCAATGGTGAACTCTACACCAAACATTTAAAGAATTATCATTAATACTTTATAAACTCTTCCAAAAAAAAATAGATGAGGGAACATTTCCCAACTCTCTCTCTCTCTCTCTCTCTCTCTCTCTCTCTCTCCCTCTCCCTCTCTCTCTCTCACAGACACACACACACACACACACACACCGAAAACTACAGACCTTTATAAGTATAGATGAAAAAAATCCTCAACAAATATACTAGCAAATCAAATCTCACAAAAATATAAAAGAATTATATGGCATGAGCATGTTGGATTTAACCCAGGAATACAAGGTTGGTTTAACATCCAAAAATCAATGTATTATACCATATCAATAAAATAAAGGGAAAAAAACGCCACCTGAATCACATCAACAGATGCAGGAAAAGCATTTGACAAAATCCAACACCCTTTCATGAAAAAAACACTCAACAAATTAGAAATAGAAGGAAATTCTGCAACTTGATGAAGGTCATCTATGAAAAAACCCACAGCTAATATCACACTTGATGGTGAAAGACTGAATGTTTTCCCCACAAGATTGGGAAAACCGCAAGGATGTCTGCTCTCACCATCTCTACTCAACAATATACTAGAGGTTCCAGGCAAGGCAATGAGGCAAGAAAAATAAATAAAAGGCATGCAGACTGGAAACAAAGAAGTAAAACTATCTTTTTGCAAATGACATGATGATCACATAAAAAGAAAATCCTAAGGAATTTACTGAAAAACTATTAGAACTAACAAATGATTTCAACATAGTTGCAGGATACAAGATCAACATGTAAAATTTAATTGTATTTCTATACATTAGCAATGAAAATTTAAAAATCAAGTTAAGAATGCCATTTAAAATAATTCCTAAAAGAATTTAAAAATATGTGTACACTGCAAACTACAAAACATCACTGAAGAAAAGCTATATAAAAATGGAAAGACAACCTCATGTTCATAGATTGGGATGATTTAGTATAGCAATACTCCCCAAATTAATCTAGAGGTTCAATGCAATCCCAATTTCAAAATCCCAGTTGTCTTTACTGTAGAGATTGACAAGCTGGTCCAAAAATTTATAGGGAAATCCAAGGAAACCACAATAGTCAAAACAACCTTCAAAAAGAACAAAACTGGAGGACTACATAAGAACTAAAATCATAAAACTCTTAGAAGAAAACAGGTGTAAATCTTTGTGACCCTGTCTCAGGCAATAGTTTCTTAGATATGACATTGAGAGTACAAATGACAAAATAAAAGAAATGTGACCTGATCAAAATTTTAAACTTTTGTGCTTCAACCATCAGAAAAAATGAAAAATTATAATGCACAGATTGGCAGAAAACATTGGCAAGTCATATATCTGATGAGTGTCTGTTGACTTACAGCTTCATCCTCAACCGCCCCCCACACCAATCCCTGACCTAATGAGGTCATTAGGAGGTGTCTCGGAATGCTGAGACCCGGTGGAATGGTATCGGTAAAGCTTCCTCAAGGGAGTGTCTTGGAACGCTGAAACCCGACAGAATGATGTTGGTTATCTCCCTTATTTTCATGGCCGTGGTACAGCTGCACCATCCTGGGGGTTGTGTGTGTGTGCGGGAGTATGAAGGCACAGCAGGTGTTGGAATACAGTGGGGCTGATTGATGGAAATTAGCTATAAGGCACTTATCACACGGACTTTAGAAAAAACAAGTTTCACTTCTTTGAAATTACCAAATAAAAGCTACACAATGGCTCAATTCAGGGCTCAGTTCCAGAGAGAGACTGCAGCGCCTCGGCCTCACTTTTACTCTACAATTGACTCTTGTGTTTCTTTAACCCTGCGCTGCCCCACTCACTCCCCATCACTTTTGCTGCACGGGACATGGCAGAGGGTCTAGTATCCCTAATATATAAAGAGCTCTTATAACTCAATAAAAAGACGGAAGACCCAATTAAAACATGGACAAAGGATTTGAATAGCCAGTATTCCAAAGTAGATATGTCCAATAAGCACGTAAAAACATGGTCAACACCATCAGTCATTTGAGAAATGCAAATCCAAACTGTAATGAGATTCCACTTCACATCCATTAGTACATAAGTAAAATAAAAAAGACAGTAACAAATGTTGACAAAGATGCGGAGAAATCAAAATCCCCACAGGTTGCCGGTGGTTATGTAAAATGGTGCATCCACCTTGGAAAACAGTCTTGCAGATCCTCAAAAAGTTAAACATAGAGTTACCATATGACCCAGCAGTTCCACTCCTAGGTATGTCCCCAAGCTAATTCACACAAAAACTTGAACACAAATGTTCTAGCAGCTTTATTTATAATAACCAAAAAGAAACAACCTAAATGTCCACCATCTGATGAATGGATAAATAAAATGCATATCCATACAATGGAATATTATTCCGCCATTTTAAAAAAGAATGAAGTGCTGACACATGCTAAAAAATTACGCTAAAAAAGCCAGTCACAAAAGACCACTATTGTAGGATTCCACTTCTATGAAGCATCACAGAGACACACTGCAGGGCCTGGGGACAAGGGAGTGACTGCTAATGGCTCTGGGCTTTCTTTGAGGGATGATGAAAATCTTTCAAACTGAGAGAGTAGTGAGGGTCACACAACTTTTTGATATTGTAAAACCCACCAAATTGTACTTTAAAGGAGTGAATTTTAGGGTATGTAAGTTATATCTCTCTTTTTAAAAACAGCTTGATAGAAATACAATTCACCTATTTAAAGTATACAATTCCTGGGCCGGCCGAGTGGCTCATTGGTTAAGAGTTGGCTTGGGAATGCGAGCTCTGAGCAACAGGGACACGGTTCGGATCCCACATGGGCCAGTGACACTGCCCTCCACAGCTAAGATGGTGAACAACAGCTCGACCTGGAGCTGGGCTGCTGTGAGTCGCCGGCGACGGCGTAGGCTGCAATGGGGCTGCAGTGGGCTGCCGTAAGCTACCATGAGTGGCCGGCAGCCAGTGTGAGTGGCCGGCAGCCAGCGTGAGCTGCCGCCAATGGCCGGCAACTGACTGCCTCAGCAGGGGAAGAGTGCAATGATCACAATACCAACGTGGGCCAGTGAAGTGACGTCCTCCACAACTAGACTGAAGAACAAAAGGACAGCAACTTGTCTGTTCCCCTTCCGATTCCCCAATGCTGTTCCCTCCCCCAACTCCGCAATAAAATCTTTAAAAAATAAATAAATAATAAAGTATACAATTCCATGGCTTTTAGTATATTCACAAGTATGCAACCATCACTACAGTCAATTTTAAAAACATTTCCATCACCTCAAAGAGGAACCCCATACCTTTTGGCGACCATCCCTTCTTCCATCTCTCCCCAGCCTAAGCAACCACTAACCTTACCTTCCACCTGAATAGGTTTCCCTATTCTGGGCATTTCATGTGACTGGGATCCTACAACATGTGGTCTTTTGTGACTGACCTCTTTCACTTTGCATAATATTTCAGGGCTCATCTGTGTTGTATGACTGATTCCTGTTTTATGGCCTAATGATATTCCATCATATGGCTACACCACACTTTATTTACCCATTCACGACTTGGTGGGCATCTGGGTTATTTCCACTGTTTGGCTATTATGAATAATATGCTTATGAACATTCATGTACATGTTTTTATGTGGACATATACTTACGTCTCTTCGACATACCTGGAAGAGTAGAATTGCTGGGTCATTCTGTAACTATGTTTGATTGAGAAACTAGCTGATCGTTTTCCAAAGCAGCTACACCATTTTACATTCCCACCAGCAGTGCAGGAAGGTTCAGATTTTCCCCCATCCTCAGATTGTTGTTGTCAGACACTTGTTGTCTGAATTTTGACTCTAGCTATCCCTCTAGTGCAGGGGTCAGCAAACTTTTGAGACTGAAGAGCCGCCAGGGGCAAACTGCAGCTCATGAGCCACATGCGGCTCTTTGGGTAGTACATGTGGCTCTGAGGTAAAATTGAAAGTGAAAATAAAACTATCATAGTTTCATTTATAATATTACTTTAAATTTTCCTTATTTGTAAAAATGTATTTATGGCTCTCGAATGATTTCTAAATTGTGAGGGACAGGATTAGCTCTTCCAGGTGTTGGCAAACTTTTGAGACGGAACGTACCTAAAGAGCCGCATGTGGCTCGCGAGCCGCAGTTTGCCGACCCCTGCTCTAGTGGATATGAAGTGGTTTTATTTCAATTTTATAAAAAAAGAAGTGAAGGACTACCACCGAGTTAGATCTTTGCTCTCCTCCAAGTGCAGTCATGATTCCCATTAACACTTGATGACTGTTTTGGTGGGAGCCTGAGTTAACATGCAGAGGCGGGGGAAGAGATGTGGTATAAACAATTGCTGTAATCCAGGATATGCCAGGGCCACAGGCTGGAGGCCGCATGTGGCATGTCAAAAGTCCTACCCTGGCTCACCCAAAGGGAAAGATTATGCCCTATGGCAGGAAAGAGGGAGTAGGGGGCAGGGAAGTAAATTTCCAAGAGCTCTATAAACTATGTCCGTGGTCAAGGACCAGGTGCCTGATGCACAATGGGTTGCATAGCCATTTTGTCCTAAGGAATGGGAACTATGTGCCCCCCTACATTCTACAAGGAAGTTCCCGTAAGACTGAGCAGTAAGAAAAGCTGCTACCACGTTGATGTGTTTGTAAGGCTTTTTGCTGAACTGGATCAGGAGGAAGGTGGCCAAGCATGCTCTCAGAACTGGTGGTGCTGGTGGTGGTGGGTGGGTGTGTGGAAGGAGGGCACTTGTATCTTGACTTCAGCAGACACACTGGCTATTGCTATGCCCAAAAGAGTAGGAAGAGCAGTGGACCACAGGGGTCCCCATACTGCTAGGGTCTGCTGGTGAGGATCGTCAGGGCAGACTGGGAAGGATGACAAGCAGCTGGGACAGCAGTTCTGGTCAGGCCTGGGAATCCCACCTGCGCTCCTGCTCAGAGCAGAAACTAGGAACAGCTCAAAATTCATCACATTCTTTGACAACGTCTTACTGACCATGAGGCTGCATTATTTCTATCTGAGCTGGTGCGCTGGATCCCAACCATCCCAGGTTCAAAAAGATGGCAAGAGCTACGTTCCAACAATCAGAAGGAAAACGGAATTTTAAGCTACAAGTGCAGATTTCAGTGGTTTGGAGAAACAGCAAGCATGCAAGTCAACGTTAAGGAATTATTTTTACTACAGCAACTGTTCTCCCGAGACTTGTTCTTCCTGTATTTAACCTTTCATTTTTGGGGTTGGAAAGAAACACATATTAAAACCCCAGCCTCATGCGCTGAGGAAATTCACAGCTAAACCCGGGCACCAGAGCCCTCTTGAAACAACACAACTATCTTCCTGTAACTGATTATTCTGATTTGTAATTGAACCAGCTCATGCTCCCTTCTGATTAAAGGCGTGTACTCCAAGAACCACATAACGAGGCAACTGTGCAGTAAGTACTATGTGCGGTTTCAATGGGAAATAAATTGCATCCAGCAGCTGATTGGGGTTTAACTCTGATCGCAGGAATCACTCCCATCATGAGCAGCTCCTCCTGGCCTCCTCGCCCTTCACGAACAAAATCATGGCGACATTCTTACCACACACAAAGCTCTCTGGCGGCACAGAGAAGATGCTCTGGCCCTTGAGTGACTCTGGGTGAGCACAGGTGGCTGTCACGAAGGCCTGCAGCGTCCTGCCCAGTAACCACGGGGGCAGCCACTTCAGCTGGCAGTCGCACAGGAAGCTGTCACTGCTGATACGGCTGGAAGAAAAACACAAGGCATGTTTGAGGTGTGACTGAAAAGGAGTCTTCTCTCAGAAGACAGAACTATCAATCCCTCCAAGCAGCTTCTGTCATTCACACCAAGCTGTAATGGGAAGTGATTTTTCTTACAGTTCCTCTCCAACGATGCAGAGCAGTACATATCATCTACCTGGACATTTTGGTACAATGCAGCTTCTGGCTCAGTAGGTCAGGGGTGGAACCCAAGATTCTGTGTTTCTAACAAGCTCCCAGGCGATGTTGACACTGCTGGCCTTAGGACCGCACTCTGAGTAGCAGCAACCTGGCGTTCACACATGTCCTAAGACAGACGCTGCTCCTACATGACCTCCGGCTAATCTTTCTGGCCTCTGACCATCCAACAGAGAGGAGTGGCACTGTCCCCTCTCTGCTTGTTTCCACTCTCCTGATAAGCCACCAGGAGCTTATCTGAGACTTTGATCTAAATTCTGAAACAAGTCTTGAGAAACGCTTTATTTCTTCTCTATGACTGTTATTTTTTTATTTGGCAAAACTGTGTATGTTCTCCCAAGTGTAAGCCTGGCCAGAGCGCTTCGCTCTTGTTTGTGTATTTATCTCCACACCAGCGCTACTCAGGAGGCCAGATCCCTAAATAGCACTCGTTAGCTAATTGCCAATGCCCAGGGAGCATGAGAACGCACAACTTTGGTTTTGTGAGGCTCCAACCCAAACAGAGAATATTTTCTTTTTCATTTCTCAGCAACTGAGGATCAGCTTTTTAAACAGAAATCGGAATTGCCATCTCAGTGGACATTCCTTCCTGAGGAGTCACTCGAAGATAAGTCAACCAAGGAGTCTGGCTGCCCTGTTCCTGGAGGACCTCAAGGCCGTGCGCTAAAGAGTGGAGGCCAGCCCACAGCACGGATGAACACGAGGCTTCCCCTAAAAAACAGTCTCCGGGACATGGTGACTAAAGGGGTGTGAGTGTGATTAGAAATCCCACGTCACATGGGCCAGTACAGTAAGTCCCCGACTTACGAACATTCGAGTTGCGAACTTTCACAGATATGAACGGACCTCACATTACAAACATTCGTAGATGCGAACAAATCGTGGAAGTAGCTCACATGTCTGCCGGACATTGTCACAGGTGTGCTGCTGTGTGCTTACTGTACAGTGCGATAGTGTACAGTAGTACAGGGCTCAATCAGAGCCCAGGATGTCCGGAAGCAAGAGGAGAAGCAGTGGTGATGTGGAGGGGACTGCTAGGAAGAGCAAAATCTCACTTGGTCGGACTTACGAACGAATCTGACAGGAACCTTCTCCCAGAAAGGAACTCGTTTGTAAGTCAGGGAATTGCTGTGTTATGGCAATAGCCTCCTTCTCCACCCACCATTTTCCTAAGTTGTCTAAAAACCAAGCGAACGGACCGCTTTTTCATTTTTTTCCATTCCACTCTGACCTTCTAATGAGCAGAGAAGCTATAAACCTGGTGAAGAGCAAGGAAGAATGAAACTGAAGCCGGAGAGCCCAAGGCTAACTAGAGCAAGGAATCTGCTCCGCCCGCCTGGTCCTCCTCCTTCCCAGATTACTTAGGCATCTTAACTTGTTAAAGTCGTTTTGGGAAGTCCTTTTTCAAAGACGGAAATCATTGGTATCAAAGCCATTATAACTGGGATGCTTGCCCATGTTAGACCTTAAAATCAGCATTCGATTCTGTATTTTTATTTGATGGTCAGGTCACTCTGTGCTTAGAGCTGTCTGGAGGGCTGCTGTGTCGTGTAGTTATTGCAGGGGCAAGCAGGACTCTCACGGCTGACCACAAGGACGTGGCCGATCCCTGCTCAGCCTCTGGGAGCTTCCCAGAGTGGAAAGGCTGCCACCTGGCACTGGAAAAGTTGTCAGCCCAGGTAAAGGGCAGACGGGAGCGCTCCTTCTTTCAGAAGCACCCACAGCCCCCACCCAGGAGGCAGCTGGCATGACTGCCCCTTTCTGTGCAGTCAGCAGGAGGGCCTGGGCGCTGCTGCACAGGCATCTCGAGGAAGATGCTGAGCCTTCACTGCGAGACTTCAGGCACTTACAGGGAGGACAAGGACATGTTTCACTGGAGTCACAGGAACAAACTGGGGGAAAAACCTGACATTTGTCCTTGATCAGAAACACATGTGGAAAGAGTCAAGACTCATGCACACGTTCGGTATATTTGTTAGACCTGGGTCCCCTGAGGATTTCCTCGCTCCTTTACGATGAAACCCACCTCAGACCGGAGTCCAGACCTCACAAGCCAGTGGGCACTCAGGGTGGACAGTTAGACCCAACAGGACAGATGGAGAGGAAATGGGGCCAGACAGTGAGGACACTGGCCCCTGAGCTCCCCTGCGCACGCGTGCACACACATGCATGGCTGTAAAGACAAAGGCTAGGCTGAGAGACTGGGTGAGGGGACTGTCGGCAGCCCAACGCTCTGCAGACTCCCACTACTCTCCCTCCACCAACTGCAAGTGCAGCCCTGTCAACTAACAGGCATGGCCTCCACGGCTCCCGCCTCCAGCCATCCGGCACTGCTGGCTTACATCATGCATTTTCATGATTCCAACTCAAAGTGTGTTTCTAATCATCGCTTATGGAAATTTACCCAGAGGATGACTAAGTGCATGGTACAACCTGCCTTGATCCGATGGGGGAAGAAAATGACCAAGTAGAATTAACCGTTTCTCCCATCAGAAGGCTGAGCCCAGGGCCAGTCACGGCTGGGTACATGCAGTGACTGATGGGAAACCCAGGCAGAGAGCCAAGCTGAACCTCCAGAACCTTGCAGAAGCATTGGGGGGGGGGGGGGAGTTGCGGGTGTCCAAGCATCTGGAAGGGTCCAGTTAATCCCAACTAGAAAACTGCCTCAGGAAAGTGGAATTTTTAGGAGGTCATAAGGGAACTCGTCTCTCCCTGTCCTTCACTCTTTCTCTCAAAATACCCTCTTCCCATTTAATCAGATCTTTTTTATTTCCAACATTATATTTGAAAATTTTCAAAAACAGAAATATTGAAAGAAATGCACTGTGAACATTCACTCACCAGTTAGATTTTACAATACGTGCTCTGTGAACATTCACTCACCAGTTAGATTTTACAATACGTGCTCTTTGCTTTGTGTGCTTATCACCTATCTACCCACGTACCCAACCTTTATGAACTCCCGTTCTCAGATCATGACCCTTCTAAAAAAAGAGCGTCTACCTGACAGACTTGAATCTCACAGCAAACTGAAGGTCACAGGTGAGAGGAGGTAAGCCCATACAGTCTCCCCTCCCCTCCCCTCACTTACCCAGAGCAATGTCACCAGGGGCCTGCTTCCTGCTTTGGTTTCCAACTATGGGAACTGCACCTCCCTATTTCCCCATTCCACCCCCCCACCCCAAGATCTAGGGTTCACCAGAAATGGCCTCAGGAACGAGGATGAGGTCGGGGTGCAAAGATGGCGATTCTTTGGCATCTGCCACTTTGTCAGCACTTGTAGGCACCAAAAGCTTACACCTTTAGGGAACTGAAATTATGGTAGGACTTGTTGACTGCGGAGTCAGATTACATATAGGAAGAAGAAAGGAAACTTGGGTGTTGCTACCTGAATATCTAGACAAGCTCCTTTGCCACAGACGAGGATGTGGGTAAGCTCTTCTATCCCTCTTAACTTACCCAAGGGCCCATGGCAAAAGTCTGCAGTGGACCACCACCGCCATGAACTGTGAAGGGGCCTTGGAGACAGATGTGGGCTGGGCACCGCCTCACTGTCCCGCGGTTATCTCTGACTATCCCACAGGTATGTCTGCCCTGCTCACAGCCCACCAAGTTCTTTAAAGAAGCCACTCTCAATACGGTCCTTCATTTCAAGCAAAGCCAGAAGTTGAAAACTTGTCCTTGACATAATGAAAGGGATGATTTTACACGTCATAGAGAGTTTATTTCACATCATGCAGAACAGTGGCCCGCAGGCCCATGGCCTGTCTTTGTAAAGAAGGGTTTACTGGCACACAGCCACACAAGTTCACTTATGTATTATTTACAGCTGCTTACTGCTACAACAACAGAGCTGAGTTGCCATGACGGAGACTCTATGGCCCATAAAGTTAAAAATATTTACAATATGGCCCTTTAAGAAAAAGGATGCTTACCCCTGATTCATAATAAGTCCCCACAAGGCATTTTTTAAAAAAGACAATTTAACTTACACAACTACAAACGATCACACATATTACATAAAATGAGCATAATGCAAGTGTTTCTTACTCTGAAATTCTCTACTCATGTAAACTGGGGCCCTGTATCCCAGGTACTTACAGCTCTTTAAGATTCTTCATCTTCACAAAGGCATCAAACTGGACAGATCTGATTGCATTCTCTCCAAGGTTCCTGCAAAACAACACTCTACTTATGCGGAGCACTCGGGACCCTCCCGGTCAACCTCGTGTGTGAGTCGAGAGGCTCAGGGACTTTTCGGGACAGCCCTGGTTTCCCCGTGAACCCCAGGTACTAGCCAGCCCCCCTAATGCCACTGTAAGTGGCTATCGTTTCACATGTTGACACAAGCACACGAAATAACTCTGGAACCAACCAGCCTTAAAGGCGGCTTCAAAGCTAGGTTACGGCCTGTTCAGCAAGTCAACAGGCAAACCTTTCCCAACAGAATTAAAGTCAAACTTGACTCAAGATAAACGAAGAATTAAGTACTAGAGGCACCTGCCTCAGATGATGACAGCACGGACATCTCAGTGCTGGTTCCATCCTCCTCCATCCAGGCTCTGAGTGACCACTGCAGGAGAAAACCTCCCAGCTAAGCCCAGCTACTGTTAAGCTGCTTTAGAGGAGGTACTAGCATGGCCCGGGACAAAGTGCCTGCTTGGAATGGGAAGGAGACCAGGGCCTGGGAGGAGCCGGTGCCATGGTGAGGCCGGGGGGTGGAGGGGCTTTATCCAAACACCAACTGCACTAATTGGGAGCTCACCACCTGGCCATATGTTCTGTAACTGTTCCTGGCATAGGCAAAATAAAGGCCAAAGTTGAAGCTGACTTATAATGAGAAGGAAGCAGCTGGCGTTTCCAAATCGCCTGTTTCTCAGTTTACAAAGATGTGATTAAATTGCTAGCAGACTTTCTGCAGCCGCGTTTGGCAGGGCTGGGGTCAGGGAAGGTCTGGCAAGATACTCACAGGTGCTCCAGGCCTTCCAGCCCTGAGAATGCTCTCTTAGCCACAGACTTGATCTTGTTTCCAAATAGAGTCCTGCAGTTTCCAAACATCCAAAAAATGGGAGGGAGGGCGGGGAGAGGCAGGGCGGGTAGGGAGAAAGAGAACACACAATTAGGGTAGTGCTATCTGATAAGTCTGTCCAGTGAGAGGCAGGTGGAAATCTGACCTGGGCTGAGCTTGCGGGTCTGAAGTATGCAGGCTTTCCCCTTTCTGAAATGAAATACTTTTATCTTTATTAGAATTTAACAGTGATGACAGGTTGGAATTGCAGGCCCTGTCTCGCCTCAGAAAGGCCCCTTGCGATGTTAAGTGGAAATCACCTTGTCAGGCCCCGGCTGTCTTTCTCCCAGGACCACCCAAGGTTGGGGGGGGGGAGGTGGATGGAATTTAGCCATGGCATCATAAGAGAGGGGACTGACCACGGTGTCAGTGCGAGGAAGCAGACTTAAAGAACGTAATGAAAACTCCAGAACCAAAAACTATCACCCACTTCTGAACACTGCATTCTGGGGATACAGGTTCAAAGGGGGCAAGCAGACGGCAGGAACATGGGGGTCCATGGAGATGGCTCCCTGGCTCTTTGCGCCTGCGGTACCTCCACAGTGGGCTGCAACCCCGCCTACGGGAAGGCCCCTCGCGGCCTGCAGGCCACAGTGCTTCAGCCCCTTTAGCAAGAACCCAGATTGTCCATGATGCCAATGGGTCCAGGCTCATTAAATTGCAGACAGACACCTTCTCAAAGGTCAACCTCCTAGATTAGCTACCGCCTGTACCCCTGGACTGCCTACCCATGAGAAGGGGCTCCTGCTTCCAGGCAATTCTAATCCCAACCTGAGCAATAACTGTTGAGCTTCCCTAAGAAGCAAAATCTACACACACACCCCAATACACAAGAAAGCAGCGCTGCTTCCACTGGGCTGTGGGATCCAAAGGAAAGCTTGTTTCTGGACAGGGGTTGGGGGGAGTGGCATCTAAAGTACAATGGACACTGGGAATGAAAAGAATCCAGGTTCCAGTTTTTCCCTCCTCATCAGGTACTCTGAGGAGCCCACCAAGGTGTCCCCTCCAAGCCCCGTCAGCACAGGAAACTGCCGGGGAACACCCGAAGGACATGCTGTCAGTCAGCTACGTGGGCTCTGGTGCCCACCACAGTTATCCCCAGGGCTTGTTAACAACGTGGGCTGCTGGGAGCCAGCTCCTGGGCCATCTCAGAATCGCCAGATCTGAGGGACTCCTAGGCAGCAGGTGGAGGAGGTCAGGGCAGAAGCCTTTGGAGAAAGCCCCTCAGAGCAGGGATGAGCAGAGGGGAGGACTCCTCATCCGAGAATCAAGAGAGACCTCAAGTAAAGGCCAGCTCCACCTTCAGACCTAAGGTAAGATTAGGACCCATGGGAAAAAACCACAAGCACCAGACTCTCCTTCCTGAAAGCAAATGTGAGCCTTGAAGTATTCCAAAGATGGCAGATCCCAGCTTCAACGTAACTGAAAGGGCCCCTGGGTGACCTCAGCAAATTCCCATCTTTAGGAAGATGGGTCAAGTGCGGAACTGACCCAGTCAGTGCCAGGAGCCACAGAAGGAGGTGCTGTCTCAACCTGCTCCCGGGGCACTCCAAGCCCGCATGGCCACTTCTGGGGCACCCACACCAGAGGAGCTCTTATGCCCCCACTTCTTCAGGAACAGGCTCCTTCTCACGGGTCCCCCAGTGCCGCAGCCCCCGCCAGTAACTCTGAGGTAAGCCTCCAGGCAAAGCCAGCGCTGTTTCCTGCCTCGAGAGGCTGAAGGGGCACGGAGGCCAGAGACCCCTGCCTTTCCGCTCTCTTGGAGGCAGTCTGCATGGAAGTGAAAACAATCTCATCCTGAAAGGGTTTCCACAGCCTCTCTCAATCTGAAGCTTTTATTTGAAAACAAATAAACCAAACACACAGACACCACGCTAGCTTAGGCTCCCCGACCACAGAACGGGCTGAGCCAGGAAGGGCACACGGGGCACGGAGACCCCAGGCTTCCAGATTGCTGCCAGCTTCTCACTTCCTCAGCGCCCCAGGCCGGGGCCTGCGTGCTCCAGGTCCTAGGAAAATGTATCCAGCCATGTAGTGCGATGTCCTGTCAACTAGATACAGCAAAAAGCTGTGCTTTACTTCATCCATTAAATATTAGTCACACTGACCCCCCCTTTTACAAGGAGGGCAGATTGTGATTTTTAATGGCGACAACAGCAATAAAACAGATGATCAAATTCTCGATGATGCAGGAGCTCATCATTGTGTTGGTAGATTAAAATGGGCCCTTACATTCCCCCAGCAAACATGTGGGGCTGAGGCTCGGGACTGGTGCTCACGCTCGCAGATGGAGATGGTGCCACTGACAGGCTGCAGCATGGAGAATGGAGAGCGGACGGCAGCCCAGAAGGGGGCTCCCTCCACCCCATACGGTAGTGGGCACTGAGACTTGGCTGCATCTGATCCGCGGCTCCCGGAGAAGGGACCGCAGGCCTGATGTCGCCACACCACCAACTCGGAGCAGACAGTGACCCCGGGAAGTCACATATCAAATCCTCTCATGAATCTCCGGCCAGCCCCACCAAAGGCTCCCTAAGGTCTTGGGGCTCTTGCCGACGCCATCTTGCAGACCTGGGGGAGCTATGGTGGTGCTATTCTGACTGGGAGTAGCCCGCCACCTGCCTGCAGTGAGTGTCACTGAGAAACTGGAGGGGCAGTCAGTCCCCCTGGAGGACAGCAGCTACCTGGGCCCACTCCACCCCACAGAAAGCTACAGGCTTGGCCCCATAGTCCGATTCTGCATATGGCCTCCAACAGCCCCCTTCGGGCATGGCACCCCTGTGTAATTCAACCCCCCTTTCCGAGGAATGTCATGGAGAGAGCGGGGACCCTGGGGGAGGAATGTGCATCACCCATCTACACAAGATACAACGTCTCCTCTCTGCCCCTCATGTGTGCTCCAGAAATTCTCCCTTCCCTCCTCACACACTGCCACCCTGCAGGCCCCCAGCAAGGGTCCACAAGCATTTAGGAAGGGGGCACGGTGGGTGAGCATAATCATCAGAGGCAAACCAGGGAGAAAGGCACTCACAAGGTCAGAACATTCTCGCCTTGCCAGGAAGCTCCAGTTGGAAGATACTTGTGTTCAGAGCTGCAAAACTAAGGGCAGGACAACACCCATCCAATCTTCATAGGTAGAGGCCCTTTATGGCTCTGCCGCTCACTTGTTCCTTTCTTGGACATTTAAGGTCTGGCTTCTTGAATGGCAGGAATGGCCCCAGGTCCTTGAATAACTGAGTGAAGGCCAGTTTCTCCCCTCCTGCTCTAGGGGGGAAATCCCTGAAAACCACCCCTCAAGTGCTTCAAAGGCAAACCCACACCAGGTCCAGGGACTCAGAGCACTGACTGCAGCACCACAGGATGAGTAAGTTCACGTGGCACCACAGCTCTAGAGGGGCAGCCCTTCTCTATGCTAACATGCTCCCCACCAGGCCACTCAGGTGAGGCAATGTGGTGCCATGGCCACGTCTCCCCGCCGCGGCCACGCCACAGAGCTCCCAGGCAGTGCGGAGGAGACCGAGTAGGGAGGGGGCCAGAGCAGCCGTGTTCCTCCCTGCAGTCCTCCTCTCCCTCCACAATGTTTACGCAACACCTTCCACATGCCACGAACCAGAACTGTGTACCAGGATCACAGGAAAGCATTTGCTTTCCTTTTTCCCTCTTAACGTGGAAGATTTCACACCATCACAGGCAGACGGAAGAGTGTCATGAACCCCGTGTGCCAGTCACACAGCTTAGCCACCATCCAGTCGTGCCAGTCTTATTTCATCTCTGCCTCTACCCGCTTCCCATTCCCCTGCCCAGCCAGACAACTGGGAATCCAAATCATAGGCATCACACCATTTTTTTTTAATCCAAGAAGAAGAGGATTCTTCTTCTTCATCTTTTTTTTTTGTAGCATAACCACAGTACCATCACACCTAATAACTGACTGCATATATTTCATCATCTGAAGGAATTATTGTTATTGTCCCAATTTCCCCCAGTTATGTGCATCTCTCCATTTTTTTGAAACAGGTACAAAGCTTCCAGCTCCAAGATTCTGATCAGTGGAACGGAGTAGGGGTGGGGATGGGGGCTGGAGACTGTATTTTAACACGATCCCTGGAGTCTCAGCACCTAGGAGCTTAATAAAAAACATGGGCTGCTTTGGGGGCGCCCATGTCGCACAGCACAGTGCAGTGCAAGTGAGGAATGCAGGGGCTCATGCTAACGTTTTGGGACTTTAGACAGAATTGTGGAACCTAATCCAGGAGGCTAAAATGGAGAAAACACCAGAGCAGTGACAGCAGGCAATCAGGAGAGCAGCCCCAGGCTACGGACGAGCGCTGTGAACACAGAACCAGGGGCCCCGGCACCCCCAGGGCCAGCTGTCCCTCCCATGGGGAGGAAGAGCCTCCAGGAAGCCATGACACCCAAGATTGGCCCCAGTTTCCACTGGAGGGACATTCCCTGCAAAGGACCCAGTGGCACCATGCACTGTCCCCAACTCACCGTCCATTAGTTACAGCTGAGGAATCGCAGTGCGGAGTGTGCCGAATGGCTGCCCAGGGGCCCCCCACCCCAGCAGCCGAATGCCCAGTTCAAGGCTTCTGGGGGCAGGGCAGGCCTCTGCCCGGCCCCACTGCGCTGACATGGGTAAAGGGGCCAGGAGGTGAGGGAGGGAGCATGTTTTTAGGGAAGAAGAGGAAAGCCTGAAAGGCATTTCTGACATTGCTGTTAGAAGACAGGATGCTCAAGAAGAGACAATCCTCAGACAGCCCAAATAACTGCATCTTACTCAGAACTCGCACGGTATAAAAGGTGTGAAGAACCCCACTTTTCAAAACAAATCAAAAACATGAACTAACTTGTCCAGGAAGACTCTCCCCACCACGGGCTTTCCGATGCCTCGTGCTGCACTGCTGCTTTAAAAATATTTACTCTACCCACTCGCCGGCTTGCTGTCAGGGACGGGCTTGGGGAGATGGAGTGGTGACTGCCTTCTCTGTCTTGTCTCCTTCAAACCCTGCCTCTGAGAGGCTGCTAAACAGTAATAACGGCTCCAATCCCCACTCCTGTGTGTTCCTTGGGTGGCATCTGCAGTAAGTGCTGGTGAGATGCAGGGAGAAAGAAGACGGAGCAAGGGATATGCAACCCCGGCTTTGGGGCCGCATGGGCGAATCCTGACCCTGCCACCTACCAGATGTGTGACGGTCTTGGGCAAAATCCCTTCAGCTCTGTTTCCTCAGCTGCAAGAAGGCTGCATAATAGAACCTGCCCTCATGAGACTGTTCGAGACGACACACACACGCATGTGCGTGTACCTCACAGAATAACTGTCAGGTTCTAGGAGCTTAAAAAACCCAAAAACACCAGAAACCTTGAATAAAAAATAGCTACTATATTACCCTTGGTAAATGATTGTTTCTGTTTCAGATTATGATCAACAACAAAAATACTAACCAAAGACTCAAAACCTTCAAGAGTTACTTGGCTTTAGACATTTCACACAATTTCTAAAAATTGAGTAAGGCTCCTTTGTGCAAAGAACAACAAAAAATTTGGCTCTTTTCATGTCGGTCACGAACTAAGTGAGAGAGGAGATCCAACAGGCCTCCAGATACCAGGTCTTTAGCCCCAAAGAAACCAACGCCCAGGCAGCGATGACACCACTGACCAGAGAGTAGATGGGATGTCTCCCGCTGTCTTACTCAGATTTTTCTTCCCAAACAAAAGAAGATAAAACGCTCTCCTCTGGCTAGGCTCACAACACAGGAGGCGTGGGGATAGGGGTCAGGGAGCCAAGAAACGTCTTTGCGTGTATGAGCTCCCCAGAACTTCAATAGTGAGATACTCACAGCTTGCTGAGGCTGTCGAGCCCAGAGAAAGCACCACTGGTATCTTCTATTGTGCCCGAAATCTCGTTATGGTCCAGGTCCCTGGGGAGAAGACAGAAAGAAAGCTCACCATCCAGTCTGAGTTCTCAGTTCATTCTTCAACATGAATCGGGAGAACAGACTGACACCCCATCTGCCACCTTGAAGCTCAAACATCTAGGTGTCCACGGTGATGTACGGTCAACAGGACTGTGCCCACGGAGCCCCGGGAGGCCCAGGACTGCACACCTGGCAGTGTGGCTTGGCTCCCTTAGCCTGCCCTCAAAGCTAACACACGTATGAGCAGGCAGCTTGTCCAGCTCCATCCTGCTGTTCCTGTCGGCCTAGGCCGAGCCCAGGGGACAGGAGGGGTGCAGACAGCACACGGGAAAGCCTTGTTTGCATTCCACCCCTAAAGAGTGGGCATCTGGCCACTGGCACTGGGAATCAGCCAAAAGATTCCACAGGCTCCCATCTGCTCTCACCAACCAGAGCTCCTTTTCTGGACCTGACCATGAACGTGCCAAGGGCATGGAGGAAAGGGGTGGTGAAGAAAGAGACTCCAGCACGGGGCTCTCCGGGGGCCATCTCCATGCTGGCAAGCGGGTTTGGAGCCTAGAGCTCCCACCTTCTCACAGGGCCTGCACAGGCCCTGAATCTGAGCCAGGGACAACATGTGGGTGCCGAGTCAGACTCGTGACCCATTTGCCAGGATGAGAGGACGAGGCCAACACTTCAGCAGAGTCTCCTCGACAATGTGAATCACGAGCCAATGAGTCAGCTTCCTCCCTCAGCTTCTAAGGGCAGGTCACAGCACCAGGCGACAATCCCGCCTGGGACCAGGCCCCATTATGCCACAGTCAGCCCTCTCCAACCTTCCCCAAAGCTCTCGGTTCCTACACCTTCCTCCTCCAAGCCCTTGCTGGCGTGGGCCAGGAGCAGGAAGGGCTGCTACAGGCTCCCTTGAGAGCCTTCAGAAGGAATCAGCGCTGCCAGTAAGCAGGGGGAGAGTTCTGACCGCAAAGTGAAATGCTTGCTCTGACCTTTCGTTTACAGCAGGCAGCTCAAAGGGCCCAGACTCTGCTGCTGGAAGGGACTTCTTTCAATGGGTTCCTCCCTATTATCTTCATACTGAAAAACCGGGGACCCAGGGCTGTGGCTTTGTGTGCCTGTCTCCCTGCTCCCAGCCCCGGCTGCCAAGCTTTTCTCTTCTTTCTGGCCTGCTCAGTCTGAACGCTTCCAGCCTTGTTATTCAGGCCTCGCAAGGGCTCAAAGGCTGACCTCAGCCTGAATGGCCTGGCGTCCGGCTCTTTCACACTCCCCAACAATAGCTGGGGATGAAAGCCTCCCCTGCCCTCTGCTCCAGGTGCCAGTGCAATGGCCTCCCGCCCTCTCGCAAGGGGACAGGCCCAGTCTCTGCAGAGGGGCACCCCGGCCACTGCGGAAAGCCAGACACTTCTCTTTGGGGACTTGATTCCAATCGTTGCCCGGAAGTTCTCTGAAGCCAACAACTGAAAAATTTTAAGTCCCCAAAAGCATCCTGCAGCAATTTCTGGCCACTCCAGCTAATTAGGGACTTAAAGGAAAATGACATTATTGACTCCATTTTGTTCCATTTGTTAAATATCCCCAAGTCAAGGAAAAACACAGGGTTCCCTAATCACCTCTCTTGGAAATGGGGCATCCCAGACACTGGGTATGCTGAAGAAGTGTAAACGGTACCCCAAGAGGTGAGCCTCAGCATTCACTGGCCTTGGACAGGAAATAGTCAGGACTTAAAAATGGAAGCTGCAGAGGGAAGACTCCTGACTGGAAAGGCTGACCCCACGGCTGCCGTCCTGGAGGCCACTCCAGCACGCAGCCTTTCCCCACAACAGGACCCAGCATCCTGTGAGCGTTTGACACAAGTGGGAATTAGCGCTTGACAAGTTTTTTTTTTGAGTCATCAACCCTCCATAGGCACCATCCTGGGAGAGTGAGGGACATTTTTCTGCTCAGCCGGTTCTTTTTCAGTTGATTATATAAAAGTTTGAGACCCTGCACACATAACAGTCAGCTTTGGATCAATTCTGACTCTCAGCCAATAAGAAGGGAATTCAACAATTCAACAAAGTGGCTGGTTGGCTCCCTCCTGCCCTCTCAGCCAGGGACCCCTTCATTTCATCAGCCCCACAGTGAAGGACATACAAGACACGCAGGTTTTTGAGTCCCCTGAAGGCGCCTTCCGCGATGTGGCTGATGGAATTGTGGCTGAGGCGCAGGACGCTCAGGCTGCTCAGGTCGGCCAGGCTCTCCTCGTCCAGCCGGGTGAGATTGTTGAACGACAGAATCCTGAGGAAGGAACGGGGGAAGCAAACGACACATCAAGGGGCTGCCCTCCCCTCTCCTCTCCTGAACATCCAGGCGGGCTCAGCCAGGGCTCAGTGGGAAGGGGCGAGCCCTCGGAAGCTCCAAGAGCAAAAGTGGTTGGGCAGCGGGAAACCCATCAGGGCCCACGCCCACATAGTTTAACTCCTAGAATGTCCTGGGAGGTCATGGAGACCAGGAGGTGTGCTAAACTGTGAGGACTACACGAGATCATACAATTCAAGAACCCTCCAAGCTCCAACCCCTTCATGCTGGTGCTCATGGCCAGTTCTGATCCAAGCTACGAGGGACCTCTCATGGCAGCGGCCTGCGACTCTGGACAGGACCCCAGAGGGGGCTCAGTGAGCAGCGTGGCCCAGTTAGACTCCTGACATTGGCCAGCAGAGGGCATCACTAGCCACCACCAGGAACAAGCCTTCCTCACAGAATTTCACGCCTTACCTGGGCAGTGCCCGCGGGACCACAGTCTCCCATCCAGATTTCCTTGCCCCCACCCAAGGCAGTCTCTAAGCATGACCCCCTAATGTAAGCAGGGCAGGGAACGTGCCCCCAAATCATACACCTTCCCTGAGCGGCATGCCTCCTGCCCCTGACACAGCCCTGGGCTGCTTACTTGGCATGTCAGTCATCTATCATTGAAAAACAGGAAATTTGGTCTGGGGCAGGAATATGGAAAATAAATTTGGAGAAGATTAATGAGTTTTTAAAGGCAGCAGGGAGTAACATTCTTTCCCTCCTGGAGAAATAAGTCATAGTGTCTGTCAGTCGCAAAGACCTGGCAGAAGATCAAAATTACATCCTCACCTGCAATTAAAGAATTTAGCTTAAAGGAGGGGCAGGAAACACGCTGGCTCTGAGGTTACCTGGGTGTCGGGCAAACTGCTAGGGTGATGAGGGCATCCTCTGTGATCTTCTCTAAAGGGCACAGGACAGCCTCACAATGCCCACCAGCTGGGAGGGGCCCAGGAAGCATGCCTTTAACGGCTGCCACCTCAACAGCAGGGGCACACCCCCCGTCCTGCTTCCCTGCGGCTCCCAGGCCTGGACAACAGAAAACCATGGGTGTTGGGAGTTCCCTAGTGGGTCACAGCCTGAGAAAGGGTCTGTCAGAAGCCACCCAACACCACGGGAAAATCTTGTGCAGCTGCATTGCCGTGTGGGGTCTGGAAGCTAAATCCAAAGGGTTAACACAAACACGTACACACTCACAGAATCCAAGGAAAGCGAGCAAAAGGAAAGAGGGAGGACTACTGATTTTTGCGTTAGGGAATGACAGATTCACTGAAATATAAACTCCATTCCATGTGGGGCATGTTGGGGGACGAGAGGCGGGAGGGGGAGAACATGGAAGCACAGATAAAAACACCAGCTGTGAGACTCAACATCAACTTTAAATGTCCCCCTTAGTTTGCCTGGTGAGGTCACGAGAGAGACAAGACAGACAGAAGCTTGGCATTCAGAACCACCGTTCGCTTCGGTGGGTGAATATCTTCCTATAGTCAAGCCTAGAAAAAAGAAAACTCACCCAAACTCTCTTAAAAAAGAAAGAAAGAAAGAAAAGAACATATTGGACTAAAGTAGAATTGAGAAACCTTGAACATATTAAACTGAAATGACACACACAGTGAGAATCCACTTGTTTCCTCCAAACAACCAATCTTGTAGACATGGGACAGAAACATGGGGATATGGGTATGTCCACTGAGTCCCTGGCTGCTTTCACTATCGGTCGCCCCCAACATGGCAGACAGCCCAGGCCAGTCCCGCCCAGAGAGTCTGTCCTAGCAGTCTCAGCCACCATGGGCACCAGCTTAATTCCCAGTCCCAGCCTGGGGGCCCCGTCTGGGAGTCTCCCAAAGGAATGAGGGGGCTGTCCATCCTTAAGTAAAGTGTAATCACACAGTGCCATCGGCACAGGAGCCTCCCCACAGGCCAGGGGAATGCTAAGGGGGGCGGGGAGGAGCAAGTGGCAGGGCAATGGGTCTAAGGGAAAAAGGCAGAGACTGCCAGGTACGTAAATGCTCCCAGTATCGGGGTGTTGTCAGTGCTCAGGTTCACTGTCCTGTCTGTGCTGGAGCCCAAATGAGCCTTCCCTAAAGAAATCCATGTTGCTTGCTGTAGCCATTAATGTACAACAGCTCTCACAGCTGCAAAAAGAACACTTGTGTAGCTGCCCTTCTCAGGCAGGGCACTCTACCTACAGCGGGGCCTCTCCCCACGCCCGGGGAGGCCTTGGGGGCAAAGGCTCCCATAGGGTTCTGGGGCTGCCCCTGGAGCCCTCACTGATCTCGAATCAGGGGATGCAGAGGGGGTCAGGAAGGAGTCAAGGTGAAATCACTGAGTTGCTGGGCCTCGGAGTCCTGCCCTGGGCCTGGAGGCTGGGCTCCGTCTTCCCTCGAACAAGCCACTGTGGGGCTCTGAGCCCCTCCCCACCTGAGCTGCTCAATGTCCACTCTGAGATGTGCCAGGACTACAGCTTCCTGGGCTCTGGAGTGTCACCTACAGGCGGTGTCTCTAAATGGCACCCAGCACAACCAGGGGGTACTCACAACTCGTGCAGCTTCTGGCAGAAGCTCCAGCCATCACGGTTGATACGGGAGATGGAGTTGTTGCTGAGGTGGAGCTGGTGCAGGGCCGTGAGGCCATAGAGCGAGCCACTGTTCACCTCCACCAGGCTGTTGTACTCCAGATGCCTGCAATGACAGTCACACGCAGGATGACGACGGGGCGTCCCTGAGCCACGCCTCCATCCGCTGCACAGATAGCAAGTGAGCAGCCACTGGGGACCAGACACTGGTCAGCACCGAGGGTGTGACAACATCGCATGACAGAACCGCGATGTGTGTGTGTGTGTGTGTGTGTGTGTGTGTGTGTGTGTGTGTGTGTGTGTGTGTGTGTGTGTGTGTGTGGGGGGCGGGGGGGTGGGGGGTGGGCGCAGAGAGAGAGACAGGCAAACCGAACAGATGGACCAAGTTCCGAGGGCAGGAAGAAGCTTCCCAGAAGTGACCTTCGTAGCTGAGCACGGCTACACCAGGCACTCAGATGGGAAGAGGAGTTCCGAGCAGAGGGCAGAGTCCATGAAAGGAAGAGCAAGAAGAGAGAATAGAAGGGAGCTCTCATTATCATCCCCACTTTATAGATAAGGAGACTGAGGCTGGGAGAAGCCAGGTAACTTGTCTAAGATTCCACAGATTGTCGGGTAATGAGGGGCCAGGATCCAAATCCTGGTTTGGCTAACCAAGTATGGACTCTGGGGGGACCACTGCGCCAAGAGACGCGGCTTTGGCTCTGGGGTCAGAGTACTTGGATTCAAATCCCGATTTTGCTATTTTGTGGGTTGAATGAGCCTGAACATCTAGAAAATGGAGATATCGCAGAGTATCTTCTTCATAGGGCTATTATGAGAAGGAAATAAGAAAATATTGGGTTGTCAGAAAAGTCATGATGTATTTTTTCTATGGTTTTCATTGCAAAAATGCGTCATGGCTTTTCCGACAACCCAATACATGTCAAATTATAGCACCGTACTGAGAACCTTAGCTCCCACCACGTTTATTAAGGAAGGGCATTGTCAACCCCCTTCTGGACACTGCACATCCTGCCCAAGGACGGCCCCGCCCCACACGACTGAACCCTGCAATACAAGTTACTCATACAAACGTTTCCCCGTGTTCAGCATTACAAGGGCTTTGGGCAACCATGTGTTTCTTCCTGTTATCCACCTCACTTTCTGCCTCTGCTCAGAAAGCAAGCACTAAATTTATAAATAACCTCGAAGGCAACCCATCACCCCCAATTTGTATGCGTTTGTTCAACATAAAAACCATATGGTATGTGCTAACTCCATTTTTTTTTCTGAGAATTTTCTTTTAATCTCAGTCTACCCAGCACACAATCCCCTAGATTTCAAAGTCCAAAATGACAGTTTTTAGGCTGTCAAGTAAAAGTGTTATTGAATATGTAAAACCACAGGCACGGTCAATCAAAGGTGGGCAAGGAAGAGAGGATAAAGCAAAACCGGAGAGCTAGTGCCCACTCTGCACAAAGTGCGTGTGTGTGCGTGCATGCATGTGTGCGCGTGCATGTGTGTAGGTGTCCGCATGTGCGCGCATGGGTGTGTTTGTGTATATAGGCGTGCACGCACGTGTGTGTGTGTGTGTGTGTGTGTGTGTGTGTGTGTAGGCGTGGTTGGTAAAACACAAAACAGTTGATGGAACTGGACATAGAGTTTTTGGTTTTTCAGTTGCAAAGATAACTAATAAAAGACACAAACGTACTGACATGATTTGCAGAGACTGGAAGGGAGTGGGAAAGATGGTTTGTACAAGTTAAATCACTGACTATAAAGCAAGAAATCTCAAGCTGACAAATCACAAGAGTGGTGTAAGTGTATTAACTTGGAAGTAACCACCAGCTAAACTACAAACAGAGAAGGACAAAAAGAGAAATGAGAAGTGACCGGCTCTTGGGAGCAGAACTGGGGGAAAGAGGCAATGGTGGATGGGCGGGTGGGCAACGGCTGCTTTTCTTTACAATCTGATTATATTCAACTATGAGTGTACGTTACTTTTGATTAAGAGTAAACAACTTTACATGTTTAAAAGTAAAAGATGAGTAACTGCCTTTTCTGCCCTTCTCTGTATGCTTTTCTGTTGTTTCACGTTCCTCTGGCAGGCAAGCAAGGTCTGCGATTGTACACATCTGGCGGGAAGCATGCTCCCTTGATAAAAGCAGAACATCTGTACCGAGTGGCTTGATTAGCTCACTAAACATAAATAAATGTCCAGGAAGAACTATACATTTTTGGCCCACCTGCACATCAAGGAAGACTGTCAAACCCAAAGCGGGAGAGAAGGAACTTCCTGTAGCGTGTGGGAGAGGGGAGAGGATGTGGGAAAGCAGCCGGCTCACCAGTCCACAGAGGGGGCGGGTGTGGGGGAACAGAAACGGGGAGGGGAGAGCAGCCCCGACAAAATGGCTCCCTCTTGCATCTTCACTAACCAACTAACTTACTTGACCAAATCCACTAAGCACCCCCAGTCCCAGGAGATTTTCCGAACCTGCGAGGGAAAACACCCTTAGATTTGGCAAAGTCCCCAAAGACAGTGAGTTAGGCCCAGCTGAAGTCCCAAAGGGCAGGGGGCTGGCTCCGGCGGAGTCCAGGTGATCCTTGGGAGCAGGGGCCTGAATGAACAAACGGACGAACGATGCAAACAGGCCACACGTGAGTCCCGGGAGCCCGAGCAAAGCCAGGCCCCACCCGAACCCTGCCCACACGTACAGTACGTGCATCCTGGACAGCCCCCAGAAGGCCCCGTCTGTCAGCTTGCTGATGTTGTTTCGCTGAAGCTTCAGCACCTCCAAACTGTCGAGCCCCTGGAACGTCAGGCCCTCGATCAGCCGAATCCGGTTCCGATTCAGGTCCCTAAAGAGATGAAACGGGTGGGTTCAGAGCGTCCCCCACCACACACACATCTACAACCATTTCCACGCACTCCTGCTGGATTTCCCAGGCAGCAAGGAAAATCCCGGAGGAGGTCCCAGTGGGGCCTGCCGTGCAGTGGGAGCCCACTGGGCATCTCATGGAAGCTCCTGCCCACTGCACAGGCTCTGACCCTGCTAATGCACGAAAGATGAGGCGCAGGGCTCCCCAGAAGCTGCTTCCCCTATGCTCCTGAGTGAGCGAGCGTTCCCATTTCCTCCTAGCACATCCATGACTCTGCAGAGAGGAGGTGGGTATGTATGACTCAGGATGCGGACCGTAGGTGAGCTGTCTCTTAGCTCAGCAACAGAAACCCACACGAGATACCTCAACCTAGGAAAAAGCTAACCGTTGGGTATCAAGTGGCAGTGACACTTTCACTTGGGGCATTAATAGGATCTCTACTTTCAAAGAGAAGTTACTGCTGCCTGTGGCGGGGAGGAGGGATGTACACACACCATGAAGCATACACATTTGGCTTCTAGTCCCAGTGTGGGAAAACCTCAGCTAACCAAGAGATTTCAGGAATCTGGGTGGGCTAGATCCATCATAACACTGGGGAAAGGGGCGGGAACACAGGGCTAACCAGAAAGTCCTTGGTTTTCCCCAAATATTTCTGCAGTGTCTCATGACCCTGCCCTGCACAAACCCTCCTGAGCATCAGGAAACCAGCAGGAAGAGAGCAGAACCCAGGATCCGTCTTGGCTGGGGCAGATGGCCAGGAGCATGGCAGAGAGAGTGCGGGGCACAACACCTCTTGCTGCCACACTGGCCACAAACAATTTTTGTTCTGTTTAAACCAAATCTCCAGTATCGGCTTATTCTCCTGAGATACACTCTTTGGTACAAAGATGATACAGAAAAAAAACCAGGACAAAGAGTCTATCAGGTTCTGGTAAATGAAAATTTTCTTGAATCTAAACTCTGTGCCATTCTTGGAGGGCACTCATTCTTGTTCATCAAAAAACTAAACACTCAGAGATACAGAGGAAAAACTGATGATTGCTAGTTGGGAGGGGGTGGGGATGAGGGAGAAGGGGAAGGGATTAGACAGCATAAATAGGTAACTACAATATTGCCACAGGGATATGAATGACAGTTTGGGAATATAATTAATAATGGTGTAAATATTTTCTAGGGTGTCAGATGGTCACGTCTTGCTAGGGAGACCGCATCATGGATGGGGTAGAGGCTTGATCACTGCATTGTACACCTGAAGCTGATTGTATAATATTGTATGTCAACTATAAGTGAATATATATATTCACTTGGAGGTGGAGTATAGTGTGGGAGAAGAGTCAAGGGAATTGTAACAGATATGTATGATATTGGGGGGAAGTGAGGCGGCGGATTGGGGGAGGGAGGTTGTCACTTTGAGGGGTAAAAAGTATAACTATTGCACTGTGTTGTACGGCTGAAACTAATTTAAAAATTAAATTAAATTAAATTTAAAAAAAAAAGTGATGCCACACAAACCACAATGTGGTGTCCTGGATTGAATCCTGCAATAGTAAGAGGACCTTATGGAAAAACTGGTGAAATAAGAATAAAGCCTGAAGTTTAGTTAATAAAAAAAAAAAAACTAAACAAATAAATCCTTTCTTTAAACAAGAAATAAAGAAATCAACTACCTTATGACTCAGGAGATGGAGACGATGGCCCGTCTCTTGCTCACGACCACCTCTGGCTACACCTAACTTCCTCTCAAACTGCTCAAGGAGCACTGGACACCATAATGCCCATGGCTCAGATTTTATGGACTCCTTAAAAAAAAAACCCACTGCAACTTCGAAGATCAATAAGGAACCCAACCCACACAGCCTAAGACTTAGCCAGGACCAGCAGGATTCCTCATTTCATTCTGGAAAGTGCCAACAAGGACAAGCATGTATACCTGCAGTGCATCCTTTCCTCAGCAACCTGAGGCAGCCCGCAGGCACCAGACCCAGGTTCTAATTTGCTTTTATTAGGTGTTGCCATACAGTCATTAATGATAGTTTATGCAGAGCTGGACCCAGGGGGAGTGAGGAAGGAGCTGCATTTGGCACGGGGTCCCTGGGGAAATTTGGATTCCATAAAGTTTGGCTAACCTTAATTAAAGTGCAGGTTTCTATACTCACAGTTGTGTCAACCTAGGTAACTTGAATGCTTTCACAGGAAGCTGGGTGATCCTGTTTTTGCTCAGGCGGAGCATTAGCAGTGACCGTGACAGACCATCAAATGCTCCCGACTCCAGGGTGCCGATCCGGTTGCCTGCCAGGTTGCTGGAAGGATTTGGGAGAGAAAATGTAGTGGTCAGGAGGAGGCCTTCCTCATCCTGTTACGGACACCAGACCCCGCCGAGCTGGGGAAATGAGCTTCAGCACACCCAGAGACGGGCTTCCAAGGAGCCCTCTGTCATCCAGAGGCTGCGAAGCCCAGCTTCACTCCCCAGTGGGGGAGCCAGGGAAAGGCAAGACCAGATCGGGACCGTCCACTTCACATCTGGACGGAAGCCTTGTTTCAGCTTGGAGCGCACAGTGCTTGTGGCGGTGGGCGACCCCGGGAGGGTGGGAGTGAAAGTCAGTTACCTCCACCGTCAGCCATTCCCACACACCTGCCCTGCCGGGCGGGGGCCACCTCCAAACCACCTGCAGGGTTCCTCCCACGACACCCCACTACCCAAGGATTAGGGTTCAGGGTTGGTCAGAAAGCCCTAGGAAGGGTGGATTTCATAAATTTAGGGAAACAGCCTTTAGTTTTGAAATGGGTCTCATTGTGCTACTTATGACGTAAATGTGTACAAACCAATTCACTGCAGTAATTTTAAATGTCTCAGAGAAACACTCTAGTGAAAGAGACTTACACAGAGTCCCTTTAGAAAACAAGCAGTCCTTCACTGGGACCTCAATGTACAGGATTATGCACATAAGGGGACCGCCCCTCAAAATGTACTGCAGCCCACAGCTCAGATCTGTGCAGTCTGTTGTGCGTAAATGACATCAAATTATAAAAAAGGGAAGAAAAGGTAGAAAAGAGAGGAACACTATGGTTTTGCAATGAGAAGTTACCTTCAACACCTCTCCTATCTTCCTCAAATAAATGCTGTGTTTTGAAGTGTAAGTAAGAAAGGGAATAAGGCATCAGGCAGTAGCCCAGGCAGGGCACATGAAGATTCTTCCCAAATGGAGCTGGACTGTTTGTTCTTAACACTCCAGATTAAAGAACAGCCTGTGTGATGAAGATATACCGGCCAGGATCTGCCAAAAGAGAAAGTCCCTCCTGCCCTCGTGAAGAGCGAGGTCACCGCAACTCAGTTTAGCAGTTGGTGGTTTCTCTGTTCCAAGCGAGAAGCGCCAGGTGGCAGGCTGGCCATCTTCGGCCGCACTGCTTCCCGAAGGCCCGGCCTCCCCTGCCCAATCCTGGTGCCCTGATGCAGCCGAAGAAGGAAGTCACTCCCCTCCTTGGGGGTCGTGGAAAATCCACGGGCCACGGCTTGGTTTCCCTGAACAAATGGGTCACAATGACCCCTAACCTAGCCTTGCAAATAATCTCCAAAATTAGTCAGGAACAGTAATAACGAAGGAATGAAAACTCCCGTGTCATTCGAACATCTCTCTCTAGCCTGGGTTTCTAGTTTCTTCCCCTAAGCGACATGTTCCTACCAATAGGCAGTGGGGTTAAACAGGATTCACTTTTCCCCTCCTGTCTACCATCTGTTGGGTATACGACGGGGCATTAAGATGGGTAAAAAGCAAAACCGACAAACAAGGAAATTTAGAAGGTTCTGAGAACCGACAGAATGGAGTAACTGCCCCTCAAATAAACCAAATGACGTATTTCAATAGTGCATGATGCTAGAACGATGAGCACTGACAGGTTAAGGCCTCTGCAAAGAGGTCTCCCCCACTGCCATTCCTCTACCTACCCCGATTCTTTCCTCTTTGCTTTCCAGGGAGGCAGCCCAGTAAATGGGAAAGAAAGCAGGCTTTGTAGCCGGGATAGAACTTATTTGAAGGCTAGAATCTCCTGTTAAGTGGCGAGTCTGTTAAGCTAATCCTTAATCTCTCCCTGTCTCAGCATCCCATCTGTCAGATGGGGCAGAATAATGCTGCAGGATTTGGGAATGCTCTATAAACGGGCAAAGAGAGGACATGGCCCTGGGTCCCCTGCCATCAGCCCTGCTGAGGCCATCCCCGCAGCTTCAGCCAGGCCAAGGCCGAGAGGAGACGGCAGTGTCCACCTGCGTCCAGACCTGGGTGCTAAGGTCAGAGCTGAGGCACTTACAGCTCCTTTATGGGCAGTCCGTGCGGAAAGCAGGCACTCCGGATCTCCGTGACGTTGTTCCAACTGAGATCGAGCACTTCTAAGGACAGGTAAGCCTTCAGCTGACTCCCTTCCACACTGCGAATCTTATTGTGTTGCCTAAAACACACAAACGGAGGAGACATGAGCATGTCTTTTTGCAAAGAAACTATTATTTTCCTCGCCACTTCTTTTAGACACATTTTTTTCCTAGCTGTTTTGCTCTTGCAGAAAATTACAAATGCAGTGACACTCTTTAAATGAGATTTCCCATTCTTCTTTCCATCAAGTTGTCACCCGATGGATGGGTGGGTGCTAGATGGAATACCGAATTCTCTGTCTGTGACAAGTTTGTCCAAGTTTCAAGCCTAGGCTGCTCTCCTCAGGGGCAAGAACACAGGTGATATTTCAGGCCGTGTGGAGAGGAGCATGGCAGGACCAGAACTCAGGACTCACTGAGCTCTTCTCACCGCGAGTGCACCGGTACAACCAGCCAGCTCTGAGCACAGCGCCTGCTCCACATCCAGGACCTCGTGCAGTCCCATCATTTACAAGACTGTGGGCAATGGGGCTCAGTTTAATCCATCCACACACGTCATTACGCTCCTCACATTGTACCGACATCTACCATGTACCAGGTGTGGAGACAGGCACAAGGGGGGAAAAAAGAACAAGACAAAATCCTGACAACAGGGAAACCAGGAATCCAGTGCTGGCTCTGACGGGAGTCGAATCCCTTGAAGCTCCTGACGGTAGCCCTTGGTAACTCTGTTCCTCAGTTTCCACATCTGGAAGATGGGGTCACAACCCTTTATTTTAGGGATACAGGAAATGCACCCTGAAGCCACACTAAAGCGCGTGGCAGATGTTAGCATACATGTTCAGTGTTTACCTCTCTCCAAGAAAGGCATTTTACCACCACAATTTACTTGTACCTTCATCCTCCTTCTGACAAATCCACTCTAACCAACTAACCAGTATTTATTAATCAGGAGAAAGACAACAAATGCTAACCTAGGAAGAGCCCCTCGTGGGTTTGGCTCTCCCTGGCAGATTGGAACCACCGCAGCCCGACTGCCAATGTTCCGACACATAAGTGTCTGTTGGGGGGTAGCGCTGGGCCTCCGGGTTCCAGGCACTCACTCGGCCAGTTTCTGAGTAAACAGTGGCAGGGTCTCCGGCCAATCAAAGCATTCCTGAACACAACACTAGTAAGCCAGGCAACGCTTACCAAGTGGCATCTCTTTTAAACAAACGCTTGACCAAATCAGTTCCAACAGGCATAAACAAGGCCCTCTTTCCCAGAAGCTCTGGGGATTCTCGTCGACTCCTTTGTTTTTTTCACAACTCTCCCAGGCTCTGAACCCAAAACTCCATTTACAAGGGCACAACTCAACACATAGTGAAATCACCCCAGAATGAAAGACCACTTTTTCCCTTCATGTCCCCTCGTGCCCCTCCCAAAGCTATTTCCTTTGATTTCTTTATTAAGTTCTTTATAAAGATAGTCTCTTCGGTTTTCTGACTCCAAAAGAAAAAAAAAGGAAAAAAGAAAATAAAAGAAAATCTTTATTATGTAAAGTATGGGAAAAAAAGAACAAGAAATAAAGGCAGCAGGGCTGAGCCTATCCGGCAAGGCTGAATGTAGTACCGGGAGCCAGGAGAGAAGTTCTGAAACAAGGGAAGGGACGACGTCGCACAGAGACCTCGCACACAGAGGGGGCCACAGGTCAGCTGCGGTAAGCCCCCCACACTTCTCCCTCCGCCCCTCGTCACTTCCCTCCGTCTTCCACCTCCCACTCTTTCTTCTTTCTCGTCAGTCCACTACTCGCTGAATCCAGCACTTCTGGGCCCCTGCTCTGGGCCAGGCCCACGCTGGAGGAAGGGCGCTGTGACCAAGACGGGTCTCTTCCACACGCTGGAGAGAATTCCCCACTTCACAAGAGGCAGCCATGGAGACGAGAAACAAGGGAGCGTGGCAGCGAAGGTAGAGAGGAGCAGGATGGATGAGTGTGCTGGGAGCGAGAGGGGAGCAGTGTTGAATTCTGCCAGATGAGCTCCAGAGGGCAGGATGGTGACGCGAGGGGGCGACAGGCAGGGCAGAGGTGGGATCTCATCATGGGGCTGGGAGGGCAGGCAGGGCCCCGTCAGGCAATGCCTCCCAGGCCAGACTGAGAGGTAGGGAATCATGGAGCCACGGCCCAGGGGAGAGGCGTCGGCACACAGAGACGGACACGAGAAAGAAGAGGGACCCACAGGATCTGAGGCAACAGCTCGAGATGCATAGAATGGTGACCCTGTATATTCTAGATCAGACATATTAAGGTGACCAGGTTAGCAGGCTAGAAGGCTACACCATCCGTCCTTGTCCACTTATAGTCAATCCCCAGCCCAGCAGCCGGAGTGGTCCTGATAAGTGGGAGAAAACCTGAGCAAATCATGTATCTCTTAAAGGGTTCACATCTAGACTATATAAAGAACCCCTGCAACTCAACAACAACAAAAACAACCCGATTAAAAAATGAGCAAAGGATTTGAATACACGTTTCTCCAAAGAAGACACATGAAAGGCCAAAAAACACATGAAAATATGCTCAACATCACTGATCACTACAGAAATGCAATGAGATACCTACCCCCCCACCCTAACCCCACAGGACAGCTACTACCAAAAAAGGAGAAGTAACAGGTGTGGACGAGGATGAAGAGAAATTAAAACCCTGGTGCAGCTGCTGAAGAAAATGGTGGGCCCTCAAACATTCAAACAGAATTACCAAGATCCAGCAATTCTACTTCTGGGTATATAGCCAAAAAAACTGCAAGCAGATCTGAAAGAGGTATTTGTACACTCATGTTCATAACAGCATTACGGACAATAGCCAAAAGGTGAAACAACCCAAGTGTGCATCGAAGGTTAGATGGATGAATGGGTGGATGGATGGACGGACGGACACATGTGGTACAACACATAGGACAGACTATCATTCAGCCATAAAAAGGAAATTCTGACCCATGCTACAATATGGATGAATCTTGTGGACATTTATGCTAAGTGAAATAAAGCCAGTCACAAAAAGACAAATACTGTGTGGTTCCACTTCTATGAGGAACCTACAGAATAGTCGAATTAATTGAAACAGAAAGTAGAGCAGTGGCTGGCGGGGCTGCCGGGAGGCAGGACTGGGGAGCTGTTTAACAGGCGTGGAGTTTTAGTTCTGCAAACTGGAAAGGGCCCTGGGGACTGCACAACACAAGTATACCTAACATTACTGAACTACATACATAAAAAATAACTCAGGTGGTAAAGTTTACATTATGTGTATTTTACCACCATTTAAAAACAAAACAAAGCAAAATAATATGTCAGTTGACAGGACTGCTTTGCCTACAACTCAAACGATGGCTCTGGTGTCTCACTCAGGACGCAGTCCTTACAGTGTTCTCCAAGGCCCCACGATCTGCCTGACGCCCACCTCACTCCTCCACCTGGCGCGCTCTGCCCACACCGGGCCTCAGGCATGGCAGGCAGACTCCTGCTTCAGGACCTTTGCACCTGCCTTCGCCACAGCTTGGAACGCTCTTCCCCCAGAGATCCACAGGTCTCACACCCTTACTTCCTTCACATCTTTATTCAAATGTCACTTTCTCACTGAGGCTTCCCTGGCCAAACTCTCTAAAACCACAAGTCTCTCTCTCTCTCTCTCTCTCTCTCTCTCTCTCTCTCTCTCTCTCTNATTCAAATGTCACTTTCTCACTGAGGCTTCCCTGGCCAAACTCTCTAAAACCACAAGTCTCTCTCTCTCTCTCTCTCTCTCTCTCTCTCTCTCTCACTCACTCACTCACACACACACACACACACACACACACACACACACACACACACACACTTTCCACTCCTTTGTCTGCTTTATTTTCCTCAATATCATCTAAGATATCCAAGATTTTGCTTATTTCTAGTTTTATATCTTCTCTCCCACCAGGATGTGGCCCCATGAAGGCAGAGATATCTGTCTATTTTGTCCAGTACTGTGTCTCCAAAACAGCAGGAGGCACAAAATAGGTACTCAATAAATATTTGTTGAATGAATCACAAAGAACAAATAGGGGTGAACTCAGCGAGGCTTTGGGACTCACCAGCATTTAAGCAGAAGAAAATCATGCAAGCAGATGAATCCAATCAGGAAACATGAAGGGGAGAGTCTGCCAACTGCCTTGTGGGGGCACTGCCCAGATGCAAACAACCTGGCCCACCGTGGCTTCAGAGGTCCTTGAGGCTGAAACACAGCTGTTCCCAGCTGCTGAGGGTGTGCATACCGATCTCCTCCCTGCAGCTCGTCTCTCTGCTCCAGACTCTAGCCTATAACCCTGATCAAATGCTTCCTGAACTCCTTGGGCTCGGGAAAGCTGACCACAGGGCTCTGGGCTCCTGTAGCATTGTGCCACCGCTCTCTCACACAGCAAGCATTACTCTGTGATAGGTGTCTCTGTAGGCCCCGGCAACTCCACCCAAGGTCAGGAGTTCTTCCTGGAATATGGCATAGCCCCGAAAAACATGCCAGGAGCAATACCCTGCCTAAGTCCAAATCCCGGTTACGCCACTTACAGTGTGAACCTCAGGGGAGCCATGTCTGTAAAGTGGGGTGAGAAGTTCCTATACCCTATGGGCTGATGTGACCTGACATGTGGCAGTTGCTCAATAAAATGAGTCCTTGTTTTGATTAGTCGTAATTATATCCTCAGAGCCAGGCTCAGGATCTTGTGTGTAAGAGGTGCTCTGGAAAAAGAACGAAGACAATTCGTGAATAACTGGTCCCTGCCTATTCCTTTGCCACATTTCAATGCAAACAGGCAGGCCTAACTCCTCTCTCAGGAACAAAGGACGGACTCAGAGCTCTCGCTCTTAGCTTCATGCATGAAACAAGTCTGCTCCAGCTGGAGAGTATCAAACCCAGCCACGGGGAGCTGGGCTTCAAAGCAAATCCAACCCAAGCTTCTGTAGGACTCAGGGTGGCTCTCTGATGGGTCCCCAACCAGCTGGATGTTCCCCCCTTCTCACTCCTGCAGCAAGTGGGACTCAGGCCCACGCTCCTGGCCCTGGCCTACTAAACCCAACCCCATCA